TGTCCGTTTCCTTCCTATTTGCGTTCCTATTTTGCAATTCTTCGCGTCGCATTTTTCGCCTTTTTCCCCTTCCCGAAATTATTTTTTTTGTCTGCGGGTCTCTCTTGTTTTTCTTTCTTGGGGAGACTTTGTTGTTACTATTGATGCGCATGCTGTTTTTGTAATGGGTATTGTTGCATTTTGGTTTTGTACTAATAAACAGTAAAATTATAAATTCAACTTACTTTATGCTACCATTCAGGTTTTAAATCCTGTTTAGATAACTGGTTTAACATTGTAGAGAGAGCTTACTAACATTTGTGTCGCCACCGACGAGTATTAATCTTATGTTGGATGTTGCGCGTTCTTGTTATGTTGTAAGCGCTTTGGAGAAACTCTTTTAACCTTCTTTGTGCAATTCGGCTATTCTGAAGCAAAATCATCCTCGTTGATAAGGTTAAAGCGGGTCGCACCCCAAACTCTATTGCATTTCAATTTGATACGATTTTACAAATTTGATGAACGGATCTTGTCTGGAATTAGAGACTCATCCTCACAAACCCCACAAAAACGCCATATTACTTTCTCGAGTATCACGATTTCATCTAAACGAGAATAACATCAAATTTTCGTTTTATTGCTTTCATTTCCCTGTGATTCTTTGATTTTGTAGCTGTTCCACGTTATTAGAAATGAAAATGAACGAAAGAACATCGAAAAATGATTTACGGCTTTACTCGAACTTTTTGAACGTTCAACGAAACATAACCAGCTATTCTATTCAAAAAATTTTATAAAAAAAGAGCGAACTATTCGTTAGAGAGCATCAAAAATGGGAAAAATCAGTCTTTTTTCAGTTTTCTTTCTCTTCTTATCGTTGTTGATCGCTTTTTCATGGTTAATTATTTGACTGATGACCCTGTAAAACCTGTAACCTGTAATACACAAATCATTCGTTGAAATCAAAATTATGTAAACAATAAAAAAAGAGCCAAAATTTTGATTGCAGTGAAGAAAAACAAAAAGAATTGAAAAAATTCATAAAAACACATTTGTTTGTTTCATAATTTTGTTTTTTTTTGTAATAGTTCCGGTAGTTTACCCCACGCATGGCGCGCAATTCCACGAACTTCAGCGGTATCCCTCACGGGAGACTGTGGGTCGTTCCACAACATCCTTTCGGTTTTTTTTGTTGCTCGGGGCTATTCGTACAATCGACCCGGGCCAGCCCATGGCTCCGGGCGCCGCCTTCCATCACTGGGTTAGGCACCGACGAAGCGAGAAGCAAGCTTCTACAAACTCTGCCTCCAAACATTATTGTTTATACCCATGAAACCAGATGGACCAATGTCCGAGTGGACACAAAGGCGAGCGAAGAGCGAAATGGGTCCCTATGTGTAAAGGCCCTCTACCAGAAAGTACGCGATTGTGCCCGCGCACTAAGAACATCCTTCCCCTTATTAAACGATTTAGTTTTTTGTTCTCAGCCATTTTTTGATGGATCGGGCTCATTTTTCTGTCAAAAGATGCGTCTTGAAAAACTGTATCGAATGGGCTTAGTTAGTTTGGCGAAAAGGAAATTTTTGGTGGGTAAAAAGGAGATTGAAACTTTTTGACTGTGCTCTCAATCCCAGTTCTATTGCAAATTTGGCTATTGGCTGTTCAAATCTTCAAGGATGAGTCTAAATTCTTTTGGAAATTGGATAATCAATGAAATTTTCTAATTATCAAAGCAAAACAAACTCAAATTGATGTTGAAATTCATAAAGAGGTAGCATTTCACTTTTGCTACAATTGTTCTGGCATTTCCTTGCCATTTCTTTAGGGTTCATCATTTGATTAGAATCTCTTTCAATCTTTTCACTCTTTCCATTATTGATTGATTCATTGATCTTGATTGATCCATTGATTTTCCATCGATTGATTGATTAACGGATTTCAAATTCAACAACAATGTACAACAAGCATTTCTTTGCATATTGTATCTTGCTCAGACTTTTGCTACGTAAATCTCTGAAAATTCGTCAAAGTTTTACGAAATTCCTTGAATCTTTGAATTGAATGAGTAAAAATGAGTAGAGAATTATATAAAATTATAAAAGATCATAAATGTTTGTATTTCTATTCGAAAAATGGCTTCTGATGAATAATCAGTGAACGGGGGGATTCCTTTCAAAAATCGAGGCGTTTTCTTTAAAAACTAATAACGAATTCGTAATCCTTATCCTCGAAAACTCTTCATTCAAATTTTCAGCCCAATTTGCCTCAAAAAAAAGTGTTAAATCGACTTTCAGCCGACGGGTACGTGGATTTCGCACTTTTTTAAAAATATTTAATAATTATTGGCCACCAAAGCTATTCAGTTTACGGCTTTACCAATCAAGCAACCAATAATCGATCACTATACAGTACTTTTAGCAATATAATACAGGGTGCGGCAAAAGTTCTGACACTTTTTTTCAAACGGCTGTATAAAATTTCAAAAAACAGTATTTGGCTCACTTTTTGTTTTTTTGCATTTGTTAACCTGTTTTTCCTGATTTTTAACAAGAAACAACGCTTTTGTTTAGGTTCGCTTTCAATATGGATGCTAAAAAGAGGCGCACTGTGATACTTGAGTTGCACAAAGCCGGAAAGATACCGATGGAGATTGTTTGAGTCACCGGATATCCAAAAAAAAAGTCTGTCTATCGAGCCATTGAACGATTCAAGAAGCGGGACAACGATCAGGACCGTCCAAGAAGCGGCCGACCAACCACAGTCACCTCCAGAGAACACAAACAAAGTCAGATGCCGAATCCGTCGAAATCCCACTCGTTCAATGAGAAAGATGGCCATAAGTCTCGGAATCAGCGAAGAAGCGTTTGAAGGATTGTTCATAAGAAACTTGGAATGTTCAGCTAAAATTTGCTCGGGCTCTTTTCCTGAACGACGCCATGAAGCAAAGAGGATGGCTAAAGCGAAGAAGATCTTGCACCTGGTCGCTGCTGGTCGTTTGGACAAGGTTGTGTTCACAGATGAGAAGATTTTCACCGTTCAAGCTATCCACAATCGTAAACCATCGCCAACTTCTCAAGCGAGGTCTGAAAGACACTTTTGCAGCCAAATTGATGGTCCCGCCAACATTTTCCGAAGTCCGTTATGGTGTTGGCCAGCATCTGTGCCACAGGAAGACGCCTCTTGTGTTCATCGATCGAAATGTGAAAATCAAGCTACGGTCTACCAGCAAGGTGTTGAAGGATGTCTTGAGCCCCTGGGCAGCGGATTATTTCGGGCAAACTGGATTTACCCTTCAGCAGGACTGGGCGCAGGCCCGGAGCTCGCTCGACTCTGCTCTCTGCAATCAGCTGTTCCGGGCTACTGGGGTAAGGACATTTGGCCGTCGAATAGCCCCGATTTGAACCCCCTGGACTTCTCTGTTTGGTAGACCTTGGAAGACAAGATCTCTGGCAAGAGATTTCACACCGTGGATTCTTTGAAAGCCGCTTTGAAGAGGGCCTGGGCCGAAATCACTGCTCAGTAATGCTCGACCATCGTCGGCAACTTCCGCAAGCAATTGAAGAAGTGCATCGAGGCCAAGGGTGGAAATTTTGAACATTTTTTATGATTTTTTGTTAGTTTTGTCTTCAATAAACAATTTGTTATCGTTTTTTGATTAATATTGCCAAAGTTTGCAACTTTTATTTCTCTTAGAAAAAGTGTCAGAACTTTTGCCGCACCCTGTATTATAATAGACAATAATTTTTAAGGATTAACAATGAAACACTTAAATTTCCAGGACTCATTCTGCAATTTCAGGACCGAATTACGATGGATTCTAAGCGATGCTTTCCTCTTTGCTTTCTATTCCGTTTTCGATTTCGATTTCACGAACAATCAAGTCGCATTAACCGTTCGAGCCTAATTTCTACAAACGATTGTCTTTCTTTGCCAGAATTTCGGTACTTGTCGGTTATACATCCAAAGAGAATCCACAGTGAATCCAGAGACTCAACTCGGTTAAGAGCTGACAACTTGTGAGGGGTTCAGTGAAGTGAATGCTCAGTGAAGTGAATGTTCAGTGAAGTAGCGATTAGTCGATGAGTCGAACGATTAGTCGAACGAGCGAACGATCGCCTGAAGTGACTAGTCGATGAGTCAAACGAAAATCGATAACCGAGAAGACTCGGATGGGGATGCTTAACCGAGATGCGTCTTTGTGGATTTATATTCCCGGCGATTTACTTTTTTTCACGTCTGAATGAGGAATGAATTTTAAGTTTTGTACAGAATCTAACACCAAAACTGTACCAAATACAAAAAGATAAACAAAAGTTATAGATTTGTAGTTATAGGCTAGTTATAGGCTACCGAGAAGACTTGGATGGGGATGCTTAACCGAGATGATGTATAACCATTGTGGATATATAACCGACAAGTACCAAAGTCTCTTCCTTTACCTCTTTTTGTCCGATTCTCTCACAAAACGATTGTATAAATAGATTTCAAAGAATGAAGTTCAATTTTGAATAGTTTCACTTAAAGAAAAGAAATAGCTTACAATGAATCAGAGACTTGTCGAAGTTCATTGTCAAGAAGCAATTTCCGGTAAATCACAAAAAAAAAGCTTTAATTGCTCATCACTGAAAGGATTATGAGTAAATTGAATCGAAAAATTTGGAATTCTTTTTGAAAAATCATAGAAAAAGCATAGCAAAAAAGGAGAATTCTGATAACGAGACTAAGCCAATGAAAGAAAAAGAAAGAAATCGCAAAAACCAACAAAACTATCAGCTTTTTGTTTCTGATTTGAAAAAGGTGTGCGTGAAAATTCACGCCAGTTTATTGCCGACGCCCAGTTTTTTTTGCTAATTTGTCGGAAGAATTAGGAAAATTTCACTTCTAAACTTTTTTTTAGAGCATTTTCATGTCTTTAATATTTAAAGTCCATTGCTATTGAATATTCAAGTTTTTAGCGGCACTTATCTGATCGATTTTTTCATTATCTTCATTAAATTAGCTTTCCCGGATTCTTTTCGTGAATGCCATTCAATGTGCAAATATGGCTTCTATTGAAACTTTTAATTTTACTCAAATTTTCATCACTCTGGCTGATACAAGGTTTGTGAATTGATAGAAATCATAGAAAAAAGCTTGGCAATACTATAAGTGATGTTTTTCGTTCTGAAGCACCAGAATTCTACAACAAAAAATTCGTTGCCGGGATCGAACCCGGGTTCTAGGTGTGAGAGGAATAAAGCTTAGCCATTAGAGCATAAGGGTACTGGAGGAAAGAGAGGTAAAAGGAGGAAAGAGAGGAAAGAGAGGTACTGGAGGAAAGTGAGGATGCACTTGAGCTGTTCTCTGGAGTGACACGTAAAGCTGGCGTAAAGCACGTAAAGCTGGCTCGGCTGGCGTGAAAATTGAATGGTTTATATACCCAACTTTAGCCCAAACTCCAATCGACGCGAGCTATCAAATCGTTTTGCGAGGAGCCGATTTTCAGTTAAAAGCCACACTCAATTTTACGAAAACGAATTTTACGCTCGATGTCGATCGAGATCCCACCAATAAGCACGATTACCCGTTTTATCTAAACGAGACCACGTTTGTTACTTTAAACACTTTCCGAAAGAAATATTTTCAAGAAAAAAGTAGATTTATAATAAATTACTTCCTTTAAAAACAAAAAAACAAAATTTCATTCCGTTGCCGGGAATCGAACCCGGGCCTTATGGGTGAGAGCCATAAATCCTAACCACTAGACCACAACGGACCTGTTGACGAGAGGGAAAAGAGGGGTTTTCAAGGCAGCAGCTGTCAGTCAAGACTGAATTCTTTGATTGCTTGAGATAAGATCTGTACTATCATTGAACAAAAACCATTTTTATTTTTCAGTTGTCCTCCAAAATGTGAGGGTCAACTCATCGGGAATAGCAGTATCCAAGTGCAACATCCCTACTTTGACATTGTGCAATTGAGTGGATTCACTAATGAGAAGTATCATTTCTCGATACAGGTGAGAACTGGTGACAATTCTAGGCTATTTAACTGATTATAGAGCTTGTAAGGTTGTAAATCGATAAGCCAAAAAGAATGTTTAGTACCAGCCAGTCGGCCTTAAGCCAAACTGGCTCAAGGTTCAGTTGACCGACAAAACCTGACGCTTGGCCTAGACTAAAATCTACAAAACTATGGCCTGGATCTGACCCAGATCTGTCAAACCTGTTTGGGCCTGATTTGGGTCTAACACTGGTGCGCACTGTACATAGTATTGATGCGAACCGTACATAGTGTGTACGAATTCTTTTTCTTCCAGGGCTGTTACCAAGAGATTGGCTTAGACGACGCTGTTTGCTATACCCGACATTTTGGTGGTCTCCATCCACCAATGACTGTCTGCATTTGTGGACTACTGAGAGATGATTGTGACGGTGCAATGAATCCAAAAAAGTCAAGAGCTGAATGGTTGGAAACTTGGAAAATTGATCTATAGCTGAAATTTAGTCCCGAGATGCCGTATAGTAAAGAAGAAGTACCCGGTGATGATAGTGGTGGGTGTACTTTGGGTGGAAACCCAGCCTGTTTGGTGCATTTAAATCGGGTGCTCCAGAAAGGGTGCCATCATGAGCACAAAGAGCATTCAATGAAGCAAGCAAGCTGTGAATGTTTAGGCATTCACACATACACGATTTGCCTTGATCAACCGACGCCACGAGTGCATGTCTTCAATGAAATGATTCTCGCCGTCGATGAAAACGTTTGGAGCTATGGATTGTTGAATTTGCGCAATGAAAGCACGACCGAACTGAGAACAAACGACGGGGGAACGTGCGTTCACTTTTGAAGAGACAAATCACAAGTTTTTTTTCAGTTGTACTGATTACTGTGAGCAAAATGAAGGACAACAAGATACAATGAGCATTTTATTGGGGAAACAGAATGTTCTTGATCTTATCTTTGATTCAAAAATACAAGATTGGAAGTTCACGATTTTCAACGATCCGGTGAGTGAGTGGTTCTAAACTAGAAACACTTCCTTTTGGCATACTCAGCTCTGGTTGAGTATGCCAGAATGTTTATGTTTTCATTGAGCATTCTATTCTTTGTTTGTTTTTGTGTCAAATGATCCTAGGCAATAACCGTGATTACCTCAAAATGTGTCACATTGCCATTGTGTGATCGGGGAATGGTGGTCGAAGTTTGCTCGCTTGATAAGAGTAGTGGGACTTGTGAATACGACTCGGGTATGTGGTATGTTTTATCGTGATTTGGGAAGTAGATTATCTAAGTCTTTCATAGCAAAGTTCATGGAAAATCCAGAAATCGCTGATCATTTTAGCTTCGCACAAAACTCAACCATTATCCCATCCACTCAAGCTACATCTACATCGGTGATGACCACAACTACAACTATAGATTCAACAATTACAACAACGACAACTACAACAACAACTACTACAACTACAACTACAACTACAACTACAACTACAACTACAACTACAACTACAACTACAACTACAACTACAACTACTACAACTACGACGATTCTGAGTACTTCATTGGCAACAACAGTTTTTACGACAGTAACAACTGAAATGTCGACAACTGAACCTTCAACAACCGAGACCACAACGACTTTTCAAGGTTCAATTGCTACAACAGAAACGAGTTCTACCGCTGATCTAACGGTGGGTTAGACTCTTGCCTAATAACATTGAAACCTATCAAATTTGGCTTTAAAGTTTAGACATCGTCCACTACAATCACCAAAACACCTACGATACCTACAACAACTTTACGTACAACTGCTTCAACGACAACAATCCCGCTCACTGTTTGCATGGATTGTGGCCTGTCGTTGAAGAATTTATCGGATGTAAGTCAAAAAAAGGAATTTATTCAGAAAATCTCTATTATCGGGTAAATTTTTCAGATTCCAATGACTCCCGAGACAGCGGAACCGATTCTGAAACTTGCGCTGAATTATACAGGTCAGTGCTGAAATTCTATAGACGTTCTAAAATCAAAACTGCTTTAGAGAACGGTGAGGAATTGGTGGCAGCTGATCTGCATTCTTTGGCGACGATTTTCGAGAATTGTGCTAAGATGAAAGGGTCTAATCCAAAGGTGGGACAATCAGGCTCTCTATTCTTCTTTCTTTTCGCTCTTTCTTTTAGTTGAATAACTTTCAATTAAGATCTTCTGATTCAAAAAAATAGCTGCGATTTAAACTGCGATCTTAATTATAAATAAGATTATCTAAGTCATTCTACTGTAAATTGTTTATTTTTGATTAAATCTAAGTACATTTATATTCTAAAACTAGAACAACAATAAAGCCAAAAGCAAATTTCTGTAATCTGTTCATCAAAAGACCGTTTTTCCGGCAGACCCACACAGCACGGATGGCCGAGTGGTCTAAGGCGCCAGACTCAAGCGAGCAGCTTCCCGCAGGCAAGGCGGGTTCGGGTCTTCTGGTATCTTCGGATGCGTGGGTTCGAATCCCACTTCGTGCAGATTTTTTCCAAGAAACTCAAAAATGTTAGAATTGGGTTTTTGTTTTGCATTTCTTTGCAAAAAAAATTAATTTCTTAGTCAGATCTGTAACTAGCTTCTGATTGAATTCTGACCTACCCTACACTGATCAGGCCCACATACTTTAAGGCTCGATCGGAATACCTAATCGTAAGTCAGGCCTGGAACCAGCCTGACTTGGTCCTGTCCTGCGTACAAGCCTTGTGTCCAGTTGGAACAATCCTGACTGCTAGAATGATTACGGAATGTAGCCAACAAATCAACTTATTGTTTACCTTGTTTCCTTCAGCTTCTCCACTTGATCTTTACCAATATCAATGGAATGCTCGATGCCCGGGAACAAGAGTATTTAGAGAACTTGGAGACTATGGGAAAAGAGGAACAAGCAGCGGCTAGGTGAGTGATATCCTTGATATCAAGCTGCTCTTACCTTCAGGGTTCTAAACTCAATGCACAAACTCGTGACCCATGTACAGGGTGACATTGAGTATAATGCTGGGACAAATGTGGGGCTGGCGAGTAAATATTTGGTTGACAAGGAATGCAATTCGATTGGGATTACGACTTTGGGTGAATTTACATAAATAATTATTAGAAAAGAAAAGTATCCAGTTCAGAGTCCTAAAACCGATTTCAGATCGCCGATTCAAAAGTGGTGGCGATGTGGAGAATCTGAAAGGGGAATCGTCAATCATTCTGCCAGCAAGTTTCGTGTGTGGTAGTGAAGGTAAGTCACAATTTACATCATTTTTTAATTTATTAGGCTTAGAATTCTATGCAGTTGTGAAACTCATATTTCGTTTTTATAAAAAGCAAAAGTCACGACAAAGCAGACAAAGGGAGTCAAACTCGGGTTGACCGTAGACATAGACGCTTCCGTAGACGCTTCCGACTGCTACACGGCGACAACAAGCCTCGCAAAATCAAGAAAATGCTTTGATAAATTATCTTTTAAAAACAGGAACCCACGCTGTTGTCACGATTTTCAAAAACCGAAAACTTTTCGTTGGGCAAGGATACAATACGATTAAACAACGATTGGATGATCCATTGCCTGATGAAGATGATGATGAGGTTAGATATTTGATAGTTTGTCAATCAGACCCTTTCGTGCGTACCTTTAATGTCGTTTGTAGGGAAAAAAAGGCATCTGACACACTGCCCCAGATAGAACTAGCCGAAAAACCCTTGGAGCCGGTTTAATTACCCAAGTGTGCGTACCTAAGGCGTCGCTTGTAAGAAGAAACGGCACCTGGCGCACCGCTTTGGATAGCGATCGATTTAATTACCCAAGCTTTATGCCAAAAAGGGTGCGACTTTGTTAAAACAGAAATTTTAGGATGACGACGATGATGGAAATAAAACCGGGACAAGTCTACCCTTTTCACAACCACCACCACCCAAACCGTGTGTGAGACAAGGCTTTCTGCAGGGTGAGTGACCTCTTGAAGAACTTGGAACTTGTAAGAATGCCTTTCAAATCCAATTCAGATCGAGGCAATGTTTTCACAGCTACAATGATGAACGCGAATAATCCCGACAACGTGACTTTCATTACAAGAGCTTCATCAACGGCTTCTTCAAAAGTGACTGCAAAAATCGTTATCGATACTTCACAAGTAGGTATTTCTTGTAGTTAGTAATTAATTCCTTTATCCAACGCCTTTGGACTTAACAATCCTTTTCTAAAATGATTTGGGTGCAAAGGTAGTTGGAGGGCCAATCTGTAAACTCTTGACATGTTGAAATTTTATACTAGGGTTATTGATGATGCTGAATCGATCGTGGTATTCTCAAACTATGATTTCTTGTTATTTTGATGTTATTACACATGGGCCCGGCTTTGATATTTTTCTATTTTTCGATGCTCAATTCGGGCAACCTCGATCTTTCCAAAGCAGTCCCTTATTGCCCAGTCAATCATCGAAATGCTTATCACACTCGATCGCGAGTTTGGGCCATTCTCTTAAGAGGTTAAACACCTTCAATTCAAGCCTAGCTGCTAAACCTGCTTGCGTCATACACTAAAGAAAAACTTAAGAAAAGTTATAAAAAGGAAAAAGGAAATAAGGAAGCTTTTTAGCTTTTAAAAAATAAAGCTTTTTTCCTTTTGATGCTTAAAGAAAAAGCATCAAAAAAAAAATAGAAAAATATCAAAGCATCATGATTTAACACAAAACCCAAGACAAAGTAACAAGAAGCTCGCGCTATGACAGATTATTTAGATTTAGATTTGCGTTTTAGTTAAAAGGAATTGGTTGAGTTTCTACGGAGTGAACGAATTCAAAACAATGAAGTAGAGGGATCCGAAAAGAAAACAAAATAAAACTGTGTTTGAATTTTAAACAACAACCTATAAGCAAATAATCTAAAAAGGAGGGAACGAACGAGGGAAGAAGAAAGAGAGAGAGAGAGAGTATTTTAAAAACGCGCTACAAAAACATAATAGATTTTACGAAGAAGAAAGAAAACTTAGCGAGACTCAGCAATAAAAATCGGAAAAAGTTTCTGATGGAATGAAGGAAAATGAAAAAAATGGCAAAAGAAGAATTTTTTGCGGGGTACGGTAGTAGATCCAGGCTTTAAAAAGCGCGCCACTTTCGCGTGCCAGTCCTTTAAGACAGCAGTAGTAATTTAACTTTGTTTTTATTTGATAAAATGTTTTCTTTCAGTTCACACGAGCTTTACATGGAAAATATAAAGTTTCTTGGTGGGATACGAGAAATTTGAGATGGGCTGATGATGGATGTAGAGTGGTTGAGGGAAAAAAGGGAATGCTCACCGCTGAATGCGAGCATTTGACCGATTTTACGCTGTTGATCGTGAGTTTTGGAGGAAATGTGAAATTGATACACTGATACCTTAAAAAAAAAAGTATTCCGATTTTAAATCTACCGTAAATACTGTAATAGTACCCCATCCCGATAATGACGGTGCGGAGTGTTTCGTAGCCTAGCTTTGAACGCGTTTTTCTCGTCACTGGTTTATGCTACAATGCTACAACATATATCAAAAAAATAGCTGAAATTCAGGGCTATTTTTTGATAGCTAAACGCGCATTGTAGCATAAAGCAGCGCAGAGAACGGGATGTATAAAGTTAGACTACGCAACCATCCCGAAAAAAAACGCGTTTTTCTCGACACTGGTTTATGCTACAATGCGCGCTTAGGTATCAAAAAATAGCTGAAATTCAGGGCTATTTTTTGATACCAAAGACACATTTTTTGAAAGTATGGGCGCTTTGAAAAAAATGAAATACTAAAAAACTTTTGCGACTACGCGACTGTACGAGAAAGGTGGGGTACTATTACAGTATTTACGGTATGTAAAGTACAGTAGAATGTAACGTATTTTGTCTAATAGTGTCTAATGTCTAAGCGTCGCGTTTAGTTTAGCAAAACGTTCAAGAGCATTTTGTCTTGTTAGCTGAATACTTTTACTTTTATATACTAGTCAGTGAGAAAGCTGTTTACAGTAGAACAAAGTTGACAGTCAACAACAAGTTTAAAGCTCCCAAAAGCTAGTCGCTAGTCCTTTCACTTTCAATTTAAAGCCTTTCCCAATTGCAGGACGGTCGCTTAAACGATCCAGCTGTTTGTGATATATTCTTAATCATTTTCGGCAACATCATCAACATTTCCTCAATTCTTTGTCTCTTTGTCATGCTCATTGTAACTGGATTGGGATAGTGAGTAAAATTTTGAATTATAAAAATAACTTTTTTTAAGTTCTCATCGATTAAAGAGGCATTCTTATATAAAAAAGATTGTCGGTTCAAGGCCACAACGACGAAATCTCCTTCAATTGCTTTATATGTGCACTTTGTTTTTATTTTATCTTATTTTCACTGTATTTTCAAATAAGAAAATAGCTGGAAGAGTGTGTGAGGAAATGGCTGCGACAAGTTATATGTTATTTCTCAGGTTTGGATTAGTTCATTTTATGTACTTTGTGCTCCTGAAAACACCCTTTTTTGTCATAACATTTGCCATAAAAAATCCCCACCTTTTACCAAAGAACAAAGGTGAGATTTGATTGCCACTTGTGCATTAGAAGGCGCACGTTTACGAGGTGAACTGCCCAGCCTACAGTCTGTTAGTACTCCAGAAATAGTTTGTTTCCACTCTTTAGCACAAAGTACACTAGAAAACCAAACTTTTGACTGTTTTAGTAACTTTCAGCTGCATAATGCTAACGATTTTTCAATCTCTGAAAACTGTTGAACTATTCTATTCTCGTCGAGAGATTCCAAAAGTGATTCTAAAGAATTTTAATCGTTTATGGGTTGTCATCACAATCAGTTTTGGTTAGTTTTTTCAATAGAGTTCCGAATTTCTAAAAGAAATAAGCTTTCAGGCTTTCCAATCGTTCTATCATTGTTTCTCTACTTTTTCTCTTATTTCTTCCAACGTCAGGATGATTAGTGAAGGCTATTGCAATACATTTACAAAATAGATATTCAGTTGTTGGGTGAGACATGATATTATTGAATACGCGATTGTCATTCCGCTATCGTTTCTATTAGCGAATGCTGTTTTGTGTACAGCTTTAGTGGCAAGGAAGTTATTTTATCGAGGAACGTCAAGCTCGAGGGTTGGTGGCAATTTTACAGCTTTCTAAAACGTGGCAACTTTCCGTAATCCTTGCTTTCATAGCTACAGTAATCCTTACTTTCATAACTAATGTAGTCCTTGCCCTCATAGCTGCCATAAGCCTTGCCTTCTTAGCTACAGTAATCCTTGCCTTCATCTCTACCATAACCCTTGCCTTCATAGCTACCAATCCTTGCCCACTACCGGCCCTTGCCTTCATCTCTACCAAACCCTTGCCTTCATAGCTACAGTAATCCTTATCTCATAGCACCATAACCCTTGCCTTCATAGCTACAGTAATCCCTATCTTCATAGCTACCATAACCCTTGCCTTCATAGCTACAGTAATCCTTATCTTCATAGCTACCATAACCCTTGCCTTCATAGCTACCATAGTCCTTGCCTTCATCTCTACCATAACCCTCGCCTCTGGCTCTATAGTATCTTTAGACCAAAAATAGAGTAATCCGTTTTCTAAACTGTCTAAAAAGCTACCGTAATCTTGCTGTAATCGTTTTCTTCATGCTTCTTAACCGAAATAGATCAAAAATAGAGAAATTAGAGAAAAAACAGACAAGACTACAATAGCCTTTAAAAGGTTGACACGTTTTAGTTGTTGAACACCCACTTTCAACCAAAATTCCCCTCCTTCAGATCATGCTAACACGAGCACATATCAGACAACGTGTCTACACACTGATTCTCATGCAATTAACCCTTGGAATGCCTTGGGTTTGGCTATTTAGATTCTATTTTTTAGAAGCTCTTCCAGATCCTCCAATACCTCACTTTATTCTCCCCAACCGTCTCTGCTTATCATTATTTGTTTACTTTTGCGAATGGAAGTCAAGGAGTTATGTTGTTTATTTTATGGATATTTAGAAGATATCGACAAAATGTTACGGGTGAGTTTGAATTTGAAATGGATTAAAGCATTGTCTATAATTCTGTCTATAATTCTGTCTATAATTCTGTCTATAATTCTGTCCATAACTCTAGCTCGTCGCCATAAAAACGACACAACAAACACGAAAACGAATGGAACAGGAGAAACGAATTTTGAAAGTGAATAAAACTTTATTTAATACAATAAAATCCCTTTTCTATTTCCAAAAAGATAGTAAAAAGATGAAATTGATGAAATTCAATAGTTGGAGAGTGATTTGAAACCAAAAATTCCAGCATTTGATTATTCGAAGCCAAAGGGGTTTAAGTTCGCTGTAAAAATCGTTTTCGATCTTTTTCTTACACGTTTAGTCATTAAAAAACAACTATACTTGAATAAATTCTTCAATTTTCAACTTTTCAACTCACTCCTCTTTCTTCTCGACTTTCAATGGAGCAAGTGTGACAAAGAAGCACGCCAAACAGAGTATCAGTGTTGAGATCAAGACATAGAAACCTGCAGAGGTTGATTAGCTTGGCTTTAGTTTGGCTTTAGTTTGGCTTTAGCTTGGCTTTAGCTTGGCTTTAGCTTGGCTTTAGCTTGGCTTTAGCTTGGCTTTAGCTTGGCTTTAGCTTGGCTTTAGCTTGGCTTTAGCTTGGCTTTAGCTTGGCTTTAGCTTGGCTTTAGCTTGGCTTTAGCTTGGCTTTAGTTTAATGTTTAAAGAACTTTAACTGTTACCCGATTTCCTATTCCATTACCATTCTTCCCACACTCACCCAATAAAGGAAATTGTTTTGTTTGTGGAAGGTCAGCAGCCACAATGTCTAACAAAAGTGTGATCGAGATGAGACTCGTTTGGCCTAAGATTATCTAAAAATAAATGCTAAAATCGAATCTATTTTATCATCACCTTATCCACGTAATTTTTCTTATTGCTTGGCGTCCAAAAAATGCCAAAAACTGTAAGAGTTGAGAGGATAAAAGTTGGGAATATGATGACGAAGACGTAGAATTGAGGCTCACGTTTCAGACACATATAGAAAAAGACCTCAAATTTGATAAAGAATCCATAAAACTGATTATTTATTGAGTTGATAACACTTGGTTAAGCTAAAATTATTGATTTATTGATTTGATAACACTAAGCAGATCCAGCAAACTTTAAAACAGAACTTTTGGTATCTGATGGTCTTTCTTCGTTATGACGCTACAAGCTTCGTTATGACGCTACAAGCTTTGTTACGACGCTTCTTTACGACGAAATAGTGCGAAAAGTTTAGATTATCAAAGCTAACAATATACTGGAGAAAGCTGACCTCATCAAAAGAATATTCAGGCGAAGTAAAGTGTTGAAGATCTCCGGTGACATTTGTTACTTTCCAGTTCCCGCTTCCCTGAATATCTTTATTTTTCTAAAGATCTTCATTCACTCACTGAATACAATGAATAATCAAAATAATTGATCCCATAAGTCATTGAAACTTCGTAGAAATCGTAAGACCAAACCATGAATTTCATTGCGCAAAGCTGCTCGTCAAAGGGGAATTTTTGAAGCTGAACTTTGTTTAGGGAAATAGCTTGATTAGTGAAAGATTTTGGAGGTAATCGCCTAGGAATTTTATTGATATTGGTTTTAAAAAATCCCACATTTAACGGACAAACAGTCTCCACATAGGTTTTCTCCATCATTTGAAGCGTTCCATTCGCGTAGATTTTCACGGTTTTCTTGTAGTATGGAATGATGTCATTCATGGTGACTCTAGATTTTCTTTTGAGCAAACTAGTAACCGTCAACACTTTACGTATCGGATTGGGTATTCTCGGGAATCCACACCGATGTGTAGGCTACCCAAATATGGTTGATCCCACCAAACAACTCCGGGCGCCAAGAGAGGCGGATGTCTTGCCATCTCTGTGAATTGTAGGGTAAGAATCTATTGTAGAAGAGCTACTGTAGTAGAGATACTGTAGTAGAGATACGGTAGAAGAGCTACGGTAGAAAAGCTACGGTAGAAGAGCTACGGTAGAAGAGCTACTGTAGTAGAGCTACTGTAGTAGAGCTACTGTAGAAGAGCTACTGTAGAAGAGCTACGGTAGAAGAGCTACCGTAGCCTGTTCATTATCTATAGGTACAGGACAATAACAATACTAGAATACTACAGTAAACTGACATAGAAAAGCTCTAGAATGACTCCAATCTGCTGATCTTCTTCTTTAATGTCCATCAAACGGATGAAGTTCAAAAGGATTTCAACGTTAAAGCGTTCAGTTTCTAAAAAAGATACAATAGAAATCTTGAAATCAAATACCATTTCTTGGATCGATTGGCGATAAACATTTTGAATAGTTTCTTTCATTGAACAAATGATTGTACAATCGCTGCGAGTCGCTCAGATAGTTCATATAGTTACCGAAAAAAAAACAGTATAAAAACTTTTCCCAACCTCATTTACTCACTATTAATCTCCATTCCTGGATAGAGATCATTTGTGGGAATTAGAGCGGTGACGAGCAAGAGATTGTTTGTAAATATCAACAGTTTCCACATTGACTTTGAATTTGAAGAGATCGGCATTGCTTTTAATGTTTAATCAAGAAAAAAAAATCTGGCTGATAACCAATAAAACTAATTTTTAAAAAGCAAGAAATATTTATGCAAAATCTATTCCCAAAAAGACATTAACCAGATAAAATTGGCCAAATGAAATCCCTGGAATAAAATATGAAGCCAGAAATGAGAATGGAGACAATGCCAGACGAGGAGACGCTTCCAAAAACGAATCTTTGAATCGATCAATTCTTTTTTACTAGAAAAGTAACAAAAATTGATTAAAAAAACATTGAAAACATACTCTTTTTCATCGATTTCTTTTTGATTCTCTTTTTTCTTCTTCTCGTTTTTGAGTGGAATCGCGGTGAGAACAAAACAAGAGATGCAGAGGATGAAGACAGAAATCAACACGTAGAATCCTTAAAATATCCTTTAGCATTCGACATTTTAATGTTATTGTTACCCAATAATGGAAAGTGACTTGTTTTTGGAAGATTTCCAGAAACGATATCGAGAATGACCATCAATGAGACGAGACTTCCGAAACCGAGCATTTGCTGAAGAAAGGAAAGAGTGGATAGGTGCTTCACTTACTTTTCGTTCAAATAATCTTACCGACTAAACATTTTACTGTAGGAATACAAGGGAGCGAGTTACTTTATAATACTAAACAAGACAAGGAAACAAGTTACTTTACTATACTAAACAAGACAAGGAAACAAGTTATTTTACAATACTAAACAAGATAAGGAAACAGTACTAAACAGTTCCTTTACAGTACTAAACAAGACAAGGAAGCGAGTTACTTTACAATACTAAACAAGATAAGGAAACAAGTTATTTTACAATACTAAGCAAGATAAGGAAGCTAGTTACTTTACAATACTAAGCAAGACAAGGAAACAAGTTACTTTACTATACTAAACAATACAAGAAAACAGTACTAAACAGTTCGTTTACAGTACTAAACAAGATAAGAAAGCTAGTTACTTTAAAATCCTAAGCACTCTTTGTACTCTTTGTACAAATCAGTTGTCTTTGGACTCTTTGTAAAAATCTGTTGATTCTTTTGTGAACATCTTGTTTACCTTATCGATTTGATTCCTATCTGTTAGAGCTGTCCAAAAGAGTCCAGTTGTTGATAGGATGCAGAGAGAGAATGTTGGGATGATGATGACAAAGAAGTAGAATTCTGGTTGCCGTTTGAGGGACACTTCGAAGATTACCTAGAGATTTGAATAGAATATTTCGATCTTGTGCACATTACTGCATCGAATGAAAAAGTCTCAGGAAAGAATTGAATCCCGCCGGTGATATTCGTCACCTCCCAATTTCCTGTACTCTAAATTGGACTTGTTAGGTAATCTTTTAGATGCTTAGATAATCTTTTGGTAATCTTTTTACTTAAGCAAACCCCTTCTAGCTCTAGTTCTAGCTTCTAGTTCAGAAAATGAAAGATTGAGTTCGCCAGAAAGATGTTGTTTACAGGGCATAAAGGACACCAAAGTTCAGTTAGCAAAGTTTCTATTTTAGGCATAAAGTATAACATTTGAATGCTAGTTTCTTTGTTTTTTTTAACCAATTCAGTTTTTCTCTTAAACTCACCGAGTACTTTAACTGAAAATCATTGATTTGCCACGTCATCGACACTTCCCAAAAATCATACGAGTAAACCATGAATTTCATTGGACAAACTTGACGATCGAAGGGGAAATGATTGAGCTGAATTCATTTTTTTCGATTGATATACTTTCGAAATGTAAAGAATAACCATTAATGAGCACACTGTGTCCACATAGGTTTTCTCCATCAAACGGAGAGTCCCATTCGCGTAGATTTTTACGGTTTTCTTGTAGTCGGGAACGATGTCGGTGAAAGTTCTCCTGGAAAGAGTATTTGAAATTTCTGATTCAAGAAATTTAGTCTTAATTAAAGCTTTTTGAAACAAGGCAAGCGCTACCGTACTCCAGGGACTTACTGTACCCTATCAGTTACCGTACTTCAGTGAATTACTGTACCCTACCAGCTACCCTACTTCAGGGAATCACTGTACCCTACCAGCTACCGTACTCCAGGGAACTACTGTACCCTACCAGCTACCTACTTCAGGGAGTTACTGTACCCTACAAGCTACCACACTCTCGCAGCTCTTTCACAGCTACCGTATTCCGACGGATCAAAGTTTAACTTTAAGAATCAAACCCACGTATCGGCTTGGGCATTCTCCGGTATCCAAACATCCCTATAATCGACCCAGATATGCTCAATTCCACCGAACCTTGCTGGATTCCAAGACAAACGGACATCTTGCCAAATCTGAAAGCCAATTTTAGCCACAAAACAATATCGCTTACGTAAAAAATCTCAAGCAAAATCCCGATTCTCTCGTCTTCGTCCATCTAGAATTCTTTGAAAATTTCGAAACTTTCAAAAAGTCTTACAACGTTCATCAATTGAGCGAAATTTAAGATAAGGTGAACGTTGAAACGCGGATTCCCTGCAAGAGTGGAGCGGTTGAGAAAAGATTCGAGACTCAAATCTCCTGTAGACTTACTGTAGCTATACTGTAAACCTAATTGTAAATCAAAATGAGTGGGCTATCGTTGATGTGAAACTAGAAGTCTTTATCATTTTAAGTTGATCGATTCTCATTCCTGAATCAAACCCAAATCTCTCACCATTCATTCTCGAGTCAACCGGTGACAACGCAGAAGTATAATTCCTTTCGGTAAATAAATGATTGTATAAAATTTGCGATGCATTCAAATAATCCAAATAATTATCTAAATAACTTTCGATTTTTCTAACAATTCAACTTACAATTAAATTGAAGCCCTTGATAAAGGTGATTCGGATCGAACAATGCCGTCGTTAGTTGTAATGAAATCAATAAATATAGAAAATTAAGTAAGCTCATTCTGAAATATTAGAGATAAAGAAAGAAAAGTAACAAAAAAACATCAACTTGAACTCAATTTTATCAATTGCACTGACGCATTAAATGTTTCGCAAAAATTCTTTGCCCTTGGAAGAAGAGAATTTAGAGAACTGAAATTTGAGAAGCTGTTGCATACCCGTGAATTCTCGGCTTTAGAAATTGACTTTTCGAAGATGAGCTCGGTTTTGGGAAAGAAAATGGCAAGGTTCTCTAAGTGAAAAATTGCGGAGGGATAGAAGCAATGTTGATTTAAGTGTTCCAGAAATCAAGAGTCACTGTTTTTGAGTACAAAGTGCGGGTGTTAACTGCAAAAGCATTTAAAAACAAAACTCTAGTTTTCTCATCAATCAATGACTGTCGTTCCATTGAACAGTGGTGAATTTCAGTTCAAAGAAGAGAAAAAAACGACCATTTATGTCAATAGAGTGAAAAGTTTCTTGGAGAATTCCATAACTAGAGTCGGCTGTGTCAATTCGAAAAGAGAAACGAATAGAGACGTTGCGAAAGAAAATAGAGACGATTTTGGAAGTGAAAGGTAATAGTGACGTCAAATGAAAGAGATAAATCAGTAAAACGGAATCTTTGTTATGAAAAAATAGCCCTAAATTTCAGCTATTTTTTGATACCTAATTGTAGCATATACCAGCCACACAAAGAGCACCTCGCCAATCATTTACACGGATTTTTTTTTCCTTTGTAGATGCTAACAAATATTCAGCTGTAAATTTGGGTTTTTTCGGGGAAATCAAACGGGAATCTTCATTTATAATCCTTTATCAGTGTAAGACTGCAAACTACAAATCTTTTTTGACTATGATTATGCGTTCAGAATCAGTAGACGAATCAAATGTTGACTTTGATGATGCTTTGTTTCTCTAGACATTGTTCCAAAGTGGCTACTGTACCTCACATTTCCCTTTTCGAATCTCTTCCTCAAATCCCTTCTCCAATCTGTTTCTCTTTCAGGTTGAAGGCGGAAAAAACTTTCGATCTACCGTCTTCTCATTTCCCTTCATTTTTTCTCAGCTCTGCCCAGATTTGAGGACATTTTGTGGAAAAATTCTGCTACTTGGTTGAAGCTGTAGTTTTTCACCTTTGGCTTTCTGCTACTTTAAATTTTGAGCTCTCTACAATATCAGTTACAGTGCTGTTTGGTTACAGTATCTTTTGACTGCAATTCAACTAGCAAGTTATTAGATTTTTGTTGAAATTACAGCTATTTTCCAAGTTGTATCCCAGTTACAGTACCCCTTGTACCCACGATAAATATCCATTCTTTAGTATAAACCAGTCTGTAGGCACAACTTCATTCCTTCTTTCCATTTGTATACTTTCTATTGTACTTTGTGCGCGTAAACGCACTTTACGACAAACAAGAATAAGTACTGCACTCTGTTCTTTGGAGAGTATTATTACAAACAACAGGATGGAACTAGTGTTCTAGTGTTCTCCAGGGCTATGCATAAACGCTTGCCTTTTGGCACAGTAAAGTTTGGCTTGTGACCGGTTTATTTACTCAATTAACGATGTTTCGCCAAACGGAAGACCCCAGTGCACCAGAAAGGAGCTGTTTCGGACAAAGTACTACAAAGAACAGTGCAGTACTTATTCTGTTCCAGCTGTTTAATTTGTTCATTTTGATTGATTAGTGTTTCGACTTGTTAGCTGAATATCTTATTTATAATTTTCAGACATCTATTCTACTTTTCCACAAATCGATTCTCTATTCAATTCCTCTTTTCTTTCCCCTCTCAAAATCGTGCTCTTCTGTTTGGCGTGCGGTCAGAGAAACGCCAGAAAATGTTACGGGTCAATTGCTTGCAAGTAAGTTTAGCTAAGTTTCTTTAAGAAAAGATAATACATTATACAATAAATATATAACATTTATTGATTTCAGTGCCTGTAAAATCTTCTTCCTCCGCTCGACGGCACGAAATGCAACATTCACTTGTTTCAATGATGGAAAGTGCAGTTTTCGTGAGTTCTTGAGCTTGTTCAATAGGTAGATAGAGCTTATCGTTAGGTAATTAAACTAATAAACTGTTGTTAATTCAACAGGTAATTGTTAACTTAAAGATAAGCTTATTAGCTGAAAGTTTTTAGCTAGAGACGATTGTCGAGCTTGTCGCTATCAACAATGTCTCAAAGCTGGTCTCATTCCGAATAGTGAGTTCTTTGTTCTTGCGAGTAACGCATAAAAGCTCGACTTCTGGTGGACTAAAACTTGATTAGAAGGTTCATTTTCCAATGTTAGCCTCAAAACTTAGTATAAAAAAGTACCTAGAAAGAAACTTACAACGTGTTCAAAAGCTGAAATATAAAGTTGACAATTTCCTTTATTCAGTCTGATCATTGATATTCAACTTAAAAATCCAAACAATTCGTTTTCAGTCGTTGCCCGGCGAGAAGGCTGTCGTTTAAGAATGAGTCCTCGATCACCGCACTCTATCGCCTCAACTTCAGTCTACTCAAGTAGTCCTGAACCAAAGGAGGAAATCGATAATGTCTTGTGCACAGCTTTCCTAGACATGGTTAGTAGTTTGACATGGCCAAGTTAGACCGTTAGACATGATCTTTTCTTTCTTATCGTACCTACTCTTTCTATTCAGCACTTGCAGGGCTCTGTTCGTTTCGATTGCTCTCCTTTGGCGTACGTGGATCCAAATGTAGACACTGTGCAAGCCTTGTTGCAATTGGAATCGTAAGTTTTCGAAGGATTGAATATTTTGAGGCAATATGGTGTCTTCAATCGTTTTGATTAAGAAGAACTTCGATGCTCAAAACTCTGTTAAACTGCTGGAAATGGCTTTTAGTTTATCAATCCATCTTTCCTTTCAGTTTCTGCAATGGAGACACATCAGAGTGTTCGACGAGCCGTTTCACGTACAATCTCGATTTGAGCTTCGAGGATGTCCTCCGTTGTCCCACTTCGCTTTGTTTGCGAATACCGGTAAGTCAAAATTCTTGGTAAAGAAACTTCAAACCTAGATCTGACTTATAGTAACTTGTCCTTTTTCACAAAAAAAACAGTACTCATTCTGTTTATATAGAAAGATGTGGTGTATCTTTTTGAGAACTTCTCTCTTTTATACCCTTTCCAATATCTTCGTTTCCAAAATCCCCTTCTTATCTTCATATTTTCCCATTTCTTTTCTCTTTTCTTTCCCCCCTTCTCATCTCCATTCTCCTCAAGATTTTCTAATTGAATCTCTGGATTTAGGAAAATATTTTCAGAAAATCTCTCCTCTTTTTCAATCATGATAATTCACTAGGCTATACAAGATGAAAATCGCTTTCAAAACGATAAGTACCCTTTTTCCGTTTTTTTGCAAGATCTTGATAAAAATGATAAAAAGCAAAAGCCGATAAGTTCTTTTTATCTATAAGAGATTTGGAAAGGATTCAAGAGAGTCGCAACAACAGAATTTGAATATTGAACATTGGAAAATTTGAATATCAACGATAAGCAAATCTTTTGGAATGGCAAAAGCAAATGAAAAGCAAATGGTTATCGATCTTTTTGAAATCTTTCTTCTGTTGGAAATACGGTGCCGAGGGTTACGTTACTTATTAGAGCTTCTGAGAAGCATGGTTTAGATTCTTTTAGTCTAGTACGTTGATAGTTGGTACACTTAGAAATAACACAATTTTTATTTTTATAAATAGTGGACGGGGTTTGTCTTGTTGCCTAAATTTAGTCTTATCAGTTCCCATTAGAAAGCAAAACAAGTTCATCATCTAATATTTTTTCTTTTTATTGATTCTTTATTGAAAAACTCTTAGATCTAGCTGATCTGCATGAGATGTGTGAAGTTGGTTCCTATTTGGTTTCTATTTGGTTCCTATTTGGTTCCTATTTGGTTCTCATAAAGATCTCATTTGGTTCCTATTTGGTTCCCATTTGGTTCCTATTTTGGTTCCCATTTGGTTCAGATAAAGTTGTCGGTAGTCTGAAGCAATATTGAGAAATATTCATGGAAATCATTCACCTTCTCATAACACAATTTAAAGTTGGTTTGCTAAGTTTAGAAAAGAGATTTCACTCCAAGACAAAGAGAATCCAGGAGAAATTATCCAGAAAATTCATGAGAACCCTTGGATTGACCCTCGTGAAATAGTAGATGCTGTTGGGTTCTCCCATAAAACAATCGAAAACCATCTGCATATTATAGGTTTTATGACCAATGGATACTGCATAACCTTACCGACTCCATGCAAGGACAGAGGTCCTACTGCCCTTTACAGAGTCTTTACAGATACGACAGGAAATCTTTTTTACCCCGACTAGCCAAAGGAGATGAATAGCAACTGTAAATTTTTAAAGGAAACGGTAATGGGTTAGCCTGGAGTTGCTGCTGCGACGGAGGTCCCCCAGACCCCCACCACAAGAAGTACATGTTGTACAAGAAGTACATGTTGTACAAGAAGTACATGTTGTACAAGAAGTACAAGAAGTACAAGAAGTACAAGAAGCACAAGAAGTACAAGAAGCACAAGAAGTACATGTTGTCCGGTTTGGTGCCAACTCAAAGGACTCATATATTGGGAACTCCTTCACAAGACTATTAATGTATTAATGACCTTTCGAAAAGAAACGTAAAGACTTTCTGGACAGCCTAATAGTTAGATGAATGGGAGCTTTGAAATTTCCCCAAACAGTGATTGCTGTGTTTTTCCTATGCAAATTAATATTTCCCTTTGCCCTCTCTGTCCTTTGTAGTGCTCAGCCGTTCGGTTCTCGATTCTTGGAAGAAAACGCAGCAATTGCAATGATTTACCCTTTCCCCTTCCCATTCCTTTCCTTTCCTTTCAACTCCCACGTTCTTTATCTTTGACATTTTAATCATTTCCTTCATCAATCTAAATCGCTTAAAATCAATTACGGCAGCCCACTCGTTCTGTGCAGCCATTTTCGGCGAAATTCGATCACTGAACACCCTTTTGTATTTAGAAAGAAAAGTCTATTGTAATTCTATTTGACTGGGAAACGAAAAGAGCTATGAGATCTTGAACCCATTTCTGGGTGAAAGCCAGCTGTTGAGAGCATTTTGTGGAACAATGTGATTCGAGAGATTCTGTGTTTATGGGGAACCGAAAATCTGTGAAATAGGAATTCGAATAGAAAAGCTTTTAAATTTAACCGTAACCCTGCTTTCCAAAATGCCTACGATAGCTTTTCTCCAGCGTTTAGAAAACATTTCAGTTCAGAGATTTGGGATTAAGTCTAGCTGAGCATGCAAATTCCAAACAAGATCCAGCTATTCATCAAACTCTCAGGCTGGTTTATCCCACGTTTCCCCGAACACTGAACCCTCACAAAACTTGGGTCGTCAATTCTCCCGTCTCCTCCTTCATGTCATCGATTATGTGAGAGGATTGGCTGAAGTCTCTCAATTACCACCAAAAGAGCAAGTACGATCATTTGTTATATTGCTTTGGTAGAGAGCAGAGATTTCAAACTTTTGTAAATTTAACATTCAAACCTTTCAGGTGCTTTTCTGCAAACGACAGCACCTCTTCGTTTCCCCCTTTCTTTTGTTCGCTTACACGTACAGGTTTGGCATTTGAAATCGTTCACTATTGTAGATTACTGTAGATAAGTATGCCTAATTCTAAAATTTAAAATTATAAATTGAATCGTTTCAGGATTGGGAATCCGGGCATGGTGGCCGGTTTAGGACAAGCCTTCAGTGCAGACAGTAGAGCCCTCAAAAGTATGGAGTAAGTTTTTGATTTTCAAGTTAAATCTGTATCAAAGATATGATTTTTCTCTAGAATTGGTGACTTTTTGGAGCGAATGATCAATTTGGGGCAAAATGAAGTGATCCCCGCCTTCCGGGACACTCAAATGGATGACGGGGATTATGTTCTGTTGAAGAATATCCTCATTTTCCACTCGGGTTCGTTTAAAATCAAAATTCTAAGTCTTAAATTTTGCTTTTGAATCGAAAATGATAATTTTTGTACTTGTCTAGGTCTTGACAGAGTTTCTAAAGCCCAACTTTTCCTTTTCTTTGAACGGAGAACTGTTTAAGTTGTGAATTGGCTTATTTGATGACCAGACTTAGCATAAAATGATCCAAATTTAAAGGATAAACCATTATAGAATAATAGATGCAATTTGCAAGGTTATCTATGCAAGTTATATGCAAATTTTTCCAGCTCATGGCCTCTCCGAGCCGAGCGCAGCGATTGTGCGTGAAGCGCGCAAGAAATACGAATGGATGCTGTCACGAGTGAGTGAGAAAACTTTGAAAACTATTCAGAAGTTGATGCAGATTGTTGCTTTCAATAAATTACATAAATTGTTTCCAGAGGATTCGTCAAAAGTCGAAGGATGATGTCGAAGCGATCTACAAAATCGCCAAGCTGATGGGCGCTGTGAAAAGTCTTGTGGTGCGTATTGAGATTGGAAATTAGTTGCTTAAAATAGTTATAAAACAGGCTTAAGCATTGAACAGTGTGGATTATGGTTTCTATTTTCTCAATTCACGGATTACAATAGCTTTAGAAAACGCTGGCAACGTTAGGAATTCGTTAACTGATTGTCAGCTTTGTGAAACGCTTAGAACCATTTAAAAGCAATAAAATCTTCAGAAAATAGTATCCTTAACTAAATATCTATAAAATAATAACATAAATGCAAATCTTTTCACTATAAACATCTATATTTTTTGAGGAACTTGGCTTCAAACGTGCTCCATACTTCTCGCGATGTGTCGCCTTGAATATTTGCGGTTTACGAGGTCGACTCCCAGCTGATGTATATATTCTATAGAAATATTTCAATCTTATTACTATTATCTATTTAATACTTTATCTATATCTGGCTGCTTGTACTTTGTGCTCTGGCAAATGCACGTCCCTGGCGAACTAGATTCTGCTGGATTTTCCTCAGAAAACCGGATTGTTATTGCAAAACAAATGAAGAGCTGAGTACGCTAGATAGCGTGCGTTTGAAAGCACAAAGTACTCGCAAAAATTTCCTATTTTCTCATCGAGCTTTTTACCTCATCTGCTTGCACAGAGCTTTTTTAAAAATTGACACAATTTCTACATTTCTATAATACTTTGCCAAAAAAATGACATAATTTACTAATTTTATTGCATTCTTTCTGTGCAATACACTCGATTCAGGAAATGAAATTGTTGTTGAAACTTTGAATGACGGTGATTTTTTTATTCTAAACTGCGTGGTACTTTTTGTATGAATTTTTTTCAATAAAGGCTTATATATTAACAGGATTTATTTTAAAATCATAAAGTTCTAGGGTACTTTGTGCTTAAACACTTAAAAAGTATAAACACAGCCTTTCCGGCGCACTCAAATCGATGAAAAAGACACATGATCGGGGAATGATGAAATTTAATGCAAAACTGAAGGATTTTGATGAGATTCTCTGATGGAAATGATCACATTCGATCTTTTTTTCCATGAAGTTATTTGAGGGATTTACGAAGAAGAAATTTTCTGTATGGCTCAGTGAAAATCCAAATGGAAAGTGAGGAAATTGTGGCATGAGAGCTGTCGATGAACAAGGCCATGTTGACGACATCTGGAAGCTCTTTGGATCAACTATTTTATTCAAAAATTTAGAAAAATTTAGAGATCCTAGGTCAGACTAGAGTCCACTTGCTCTTCGTTATTTATTGTCTTAATGTCAGTTTCAAATCGAACTCTTGGATAGGGGTGAGCCAGACTAGGCCAGGCCAGGTCAAAGCCAGACTAGGAATCCAGGTCTATACTTCTTTATCTCAATACCAGGAATGTTCTAGCTCTAGGCCAAGTCAGTAAGCCGGCCTAGGTTAGGCCAAGACCGGCTAGGCTAGGTCAGGTCAGAGTCAAACTAGAACCTGGTACTTTTTGTGGACTAGGCTAGGTAAAGCTAGGTCCGCCAGGCCAAAATTGCTCTGTAACATCTCCGCTAGTGAGCATTGAGCTATTCTATTGCACAATCTAAGCGTTGGGTAGTAAAAAACATTGACAAACCTTGTGGTATAATATTTTCCGTAACCACGAGAAAAGCGTACCAACATCCATGGAATAGCTATCGTAAAAAATGGGACAAAAATCTGATCAAAATGGTGATTAAAGGAGAACCATGAGAAAGAAACCTGTAACAACAGTGCCATCAATAACTTTTTGTGTAAACGCCTCGTTTTCTCGCTCAGATCAACGTGGCCATCGAGAAGGTATAAAGAATGGGAAAAGAAGAAGAATGCCTGTACAAATCATGTACATTTTACAGTACATCGGGAAATATTATAAGAATCATATTTTGCCTTGGAACTTTTTAAAACAATTGACACAATTTCTACATTTCTATAATACTTTGCCAAAAAAATGACATAATTTGGAACCGCCTTGGAACTCTCAGCTATCGCTATTTAAGCTATTTGAGCTCTGAATAGTATCATCCATGCATCCATATTTCCACATTTCGCTCAACTTTCAAGCGGATCTGAAAGTCTGAGCTAAGTTGAATCAGAAGCCAGAGTCAAAGCCTAGCTTCTGGAGAACCATGAGACAGCACAGTCTGGCATTGTCATTGACCTGGCCTAGGCTTTGAGCCTGTCCTGTCTCTGTCTTAGGCCAAAAATTGCCTGTAATCTAGCTGCGAACTTAAGTTTAGAGTTTTACATAGTACATGTTACTCTCAAAAATGACCCACTGCTCCCAAAATCTCGATCGCTAGCAGTCCAATTAAGGCACAAATTGCATAAATTGTAGTGAAATTTGGAACTCCCGGAATAAAAGGGTTACCAAAAGCAACCCATGTATCATGTTGATCTCTCACAAATTCATACGCTGGATATTTCTGTAAGCATATTGTTATTCAGAAATGTTTTCTGGAAGTACTGTTAGTGTGCTATAATAGTTAAAAGTTGGAAACTTAGGCTTGGGAAAAAGCTCAAGAAAAATCACTTGCAACAATTGAGGTAGCTCAAGAAAAATCACCTGCAACAATTGAGGCAAACCTTTAGCATTCGGCGATAACTCCATATCGGTTAATTGGAAAAGAATAAGAAACCAAATTGTGTAAAAAATATAATGAAAAAAAGCAATCAATATCCATGTTCTTTTTTTGAATCTAGAATTGAAGGCAAGTACATTGGTACAGGGGAAGCACAGCCTTTCTAGCACTCAGCTCACAATGAGTGTACCAGAAAGGGTGTGTTTGCAAATGGAAAAACTCTCACCGAAGCCAGTGATCTTGTGGTAGAACCTGTCGATGACGGTAGAGAATGCATTGAGCTGTGGCCATGATCATGAACAAAATGCAAACAGCACCAACTAACTGAACAATGGATAATACAATAATATCCAAATGGAATCCAAATGGAAAGCAAAACATACAAAAATAGGCTTTAAAGGTATTCCAAATATCGTATAGAAAATGCCGTAAAGTCTTCCAGCTAAAGCAGGGAAATATGGCTCAGCCAAGGCGCCATGCAAAATCAATTCAAGAAGTGTCGACCATGCCTTGATTTCTTTCATCAATTCAATTCATGTTCTTTGTGACCTAATAAACGCATACAATCTGGTGTAGCCGATAGTTCATTGATTGTAAATACCGTAGATTGTAAATACCGTAGTTTTTTTTTACTACAGTGAGTCAGAAAGTAAATGTTTACTAGTACAAAGATAACAAAAAGGTTTATTTACCTGATACCACAAAATATGATTCTTATAATATTTCATATTTGGTGGTGAGATAGAAATAATTGCATAGAATGTTAGAAAATTTAACAATGTCCCAAAAACTCCAAAGATATTTGAAACCAAAATATAGACTCTTGGAATCTCATAATTTATTTGGAAAACTTTAGAGCTCATTGAAGAGAAATTTTATAATTATTGAAAGCAATTCTGTTAGGCTTGTTAGCTTCGTGAACAGGTGAAAGTTGAGGAGTCTGAAACAATTTTTGAAACCTAAAAACTTGCCGAAAGTCACTTTGTTAGACTCATCAAGATCACAAATACGTGTAAAAACTTTAGAAAAAATAAATAGTCATGAAGATTTTGTTGTACTTGTTAAGGAAATGAGCATTCAGATATTCAGGATTCAAGCCATACAATCCAAACAGAAATTTGGCTGCCATGCCCGACTGACTAGGAGTCTCAGTCGAGAGGTGAAGGCTTCAATCCATACATCTTTATCGATACATCTTTATCCATAGATCTTTATCAATCTTATCCGTCGCTGAGATCTATCTTTCTGTCCCAAACATTAAACTGTTTCTACTTTATGCAGATAAAGACCTTTTAGGAAAGATTGCCCGAATACGGATGTTGATATGAACCAGATTTTACTCCAGAACAGAGGGACAATCTGTTAAAGTAAAAAAGTCCAGCCACGATTCCAACCCTCGACCCTTGGATTCAGAGGCCATCGCTCTGTCGACTACCCTACAGAGAACGCCTCACCGAGTCTGCTAGCAACCGAGATTTTGGGAGCAGTAGGTCATTTTTGAGAGTAACATGTACAGTGCCGGACAAAAGTTTAAGAACATGACCTCAAGTTATGGAAAAAGCTCAATATCTTTTAGAAGGTCAAGAATTTCATTTAGGTCTTAAAAGCATTTTTGTTTGTCTCAATTTCAGGAATTAACCACATTATAACAGGTCACAAATCTAAATACAAAAAAGTCTTTGAGACTTTACAGGAAAGAGCCGGGATTCTAGCCGGACAAAAGTTTAAGAACAAGCATTGTTTTAATGCAATATTTCATTTTCCATGGATTTTTTTGACATTTTTTATGTTATTTTTTAGAAAAAATGGCCAAAACTCAAGGAATCTCACCTTCTGATGTGAATACCATTGTCCGAATGAGGGATCTACAAAGCAAGACCTTTGAAGAGATCGCAACGGCAATAGGATGAAAAAGGCGCCTGTTTGGCAAGCTTTATCAACGTAGAAAGAACCCGGCGCCGAAAAGAAGATGGGAAGACCTCGAAAAACCAGTGACAAGTAAGTTTTTTTGAGATTTCCTTTTTAAATGTGCAAAATATTGCTCAGGATGAATCGACGCATCACACTAGCTACCAAGAAGGACCCGTTTTTGACCGCTCCTGAGGTTCGTGAAGCTGTTGGAGCGTCAAATGTTCATCAGAGAACAATACAAAGACGTTTGAGCGAAAGTCAACTCTTTGGTCGAATTGCTGCTCATAAACCGTTCGTCTCTGCCAAAAATAAGAAAGTCAGACTGAATTTTGCTAAGACACACGAGCAGGACGGTTGCCAAATGGAAGAACGTGCTTTGGTCAGATGAATTCAAGTTCAACATGAGCAATACGGACGGAATCAAACATGTTCGTCGCCCGCCGAACACCCGAAATGACCCACGATACACTGTTGGTACAGTTAAGTATGGATGTGGCAATGTCATGGTGTGGGATGTTTTTCATTTGACTGCCATGGACCTGGAGCGGAGCGTTTGTTCTAGCATTTTGTTGTGTTGCACCTTAGGGAAGTTGAGTAGACACTAATTTTTTTGTTGTTAAGCTTGTTTGCTTATTACATGTTTGCAATAAATTGTTGAAAAGTGAATAAAACTTGCAATTCATAATAAAAAAGGGTCATCTTTGCCGTGTGCGGTTTTGCATTATCACGCAAAAATCGACTTTTTGAAGTGTCATGTCGAGATCTCGGTAAAGTTTGATTCACACGCTCTAACTGCTCACTGTAAAGTTCAGCTGTGACAGTTTTACCCGGTTTGAGAAGTCATAATAAAACAATCCACGATAGTTCCAACCATACGCAAAACACCGGA